AACAGACAGTTTTTCAACATGTAACTCTTGATCACTGAAGATGAATGGACAACATGATCTTCAGTTGTGAGACCATCACCGCTGAATGTGACAACTGGGCTCACTTCATCGCTGATCAGGACTTTTGCAAGCACATAGGCATCCTTCACCACCTGCGGTAAGTTCATCATCAGATTCTTCTCAGCAGGTAGACAAGATATTCTGAAATTAAACTCAGAATCTTCTTCAGGTCCTCTTTCTTCTTGTGAAAGGGCCAACAACAAGCATCCTTCATCTTTGACTGTTTTTGTCATCAGATGCATTGTTGTTGTGTCGATATACCTTGGCCACCAACTCTGAGGGTATATCGCTGGTACCATATCAACACTGATATGCAGCTGTTTGTGACGACAGGACATCCAGGTAACCTGCACTGAAAATGCTGGTCTCTCAATGTCCTCAGAGCCATCACTGATCCCATTCAAAACAAAATTGCTGTTTTTCCAAGTTGCTTCTTCTCGCATGATTGTGCTCAAGAGCTGATTGAAAACAACACGCAAATTTTGTGTTATGATGAAGCCTGTATCATCAATGAAATGGGAAAATTCTCTGGGTGGTGGTTTGGTTTTGCACCTTGCCCTTACCAGGCCACTGGTCTTGGAGGTCTCCTCTTCCACTATATCGCATGCATTGGCAAACTTGGTCAAACAGAATACAAAATCAAACTCATTAGGATTTCCAGTCTTGGTGCCTTCAGCCACACTGCCAGAAGGGAGCAATGAAGCAGTCAAAACCTCTTCAATCTCTCCCATTNTCAACATGGCTTTTAAAATGTACTGCACACAATAAGGGGTCAGCCCAAGGCATCTTTGATGAAAGCAGTGATGTAAGCAGTACTATTGCAACTGGCCTTTGCTAGATCCTATACACTGCATATAATTATACACTGCAGAATCTGGAAAAAGAAAGAAAGAAAAAAATTAAAACAGATGAAGATCCCACAAAGACCTACTTTACAAAAATTCAAATATCAATTTACAATGACATAGGAGTATTGGTGGGGTGGGGGAAGGGCATGATTTATGGACACTGCTATACCCTGTGACTAAGACACCCTTTTTCTATTGAATGAAAACATATCACATGAAATGGCATCACTGCCCCATCACTGCTTACAGAAGGTAATCAAGTTATGTGCCTTTTTATTTCAGTAATTACAACTGACAATGATAGCAGTCAATTAAAACATGAAATTATCAATATTTCACTTATTATGAAAATTTGTACATAATTCTGTTAATGATTATTTGCATCAGTGCTATAATTATTATCTTCGTCAAATTATCCACACAAGTGGAAAGTGAAAATTTTCAGTTGTTCACAGAGAAAGCAACAGGCAGATTTCAATGTTTCGCAGGGCCCCACGAAAAACCGCCAAGGCGAGTGGGCTCCCTGGATAAATATTTTTATTATTATTGTTATTGTTATTGTTATCGTTATCATTATTATTATTATTATTATGTGATAGTTATGATCATAAGACATATGGAAACAATTATTTTGTGATTGCAGCAATCCTTGTCACAACCATCAATGATCATAGCGATAGTTATGATCATATGGTAATTAATGACTCACCAGAGATTGTAACGATTTTTGCAGTGAAAAATATACCAGAATGCAATGCATAGCTGTCTGATTGAGGTCCTCTTGCATGATTTTTCATTCCACAGCGATTGCTGCATTCAGTCATGTGGAAAATGACTTAGTAAGGATCACTCCACTTTCTCTGGAGCTATTACAACAATCACAGCGATCATAGCGGTCATTACAATCATAAATTATGGAAATCAGCTTCATAAAGAAGTATAGACTGATTTATTACAACAATGTAGAGCAGCTATTCAGTATTGCATTCTTCATTAAACATTTGGTTAGTGACATTCTTGTTGACATTAACAATCAAAAACCAGATGCTTTAAAGAAGAATAAGATGAAGACATTGTCAAAGACATTGTCATAGTTCAAACTACCACATTTTACAACTTTTGTACAGTTTGTATATATTTACTTTTTATTTTTGAAAGATTAAGTGTGTTGAATGTGAATGAGAATAGAAGACAGTGTCTTCATCTTATTCTTCTTGTTATTCCAACACATTCCTGGCCTCAGAGAAACAAAATTCCCGGAGAAGATGCTATCAGTNTTTACCTTTACCTTTACCTTCACTCAAGGTCTCGGGGAAATCAAATTTATAAATATAATAAATATAACCCAGGCCTTCAGTACATGTAGTTCAATAACCGGCCCGTCTTATTTATTAATTTACATCACACTGGCTCATTTCACCCCAAAGCTCTGTTCGTAAATGTAAAGTTTACAACTAAAATTCCCAAAGCACCACTGTGAAGCTCAAAGATGAAAACATACCCACATGAAAACAATGTGAGTTCATGCAAATAAATGTGTACATTCTTTCTTACCTAAAATGCACACACAAACAGTAGACATGAATAGAATCATATGTAAAATCACTCAGTTAGATTGTAGAATACAGGGCCACTCATTTGCATCTCACTAAATTTAAATGGTTCCTTTTGTTTCTATATGCTTCGTTCGTAGAAGCGCGGCCCGGTATTGTGAAAAGCTCTACAAATTCCCCTATTTCTCACCTTCCGCATTGTCCGACCAGTCGCTAGGCCACTCGAGCATCGAAAGCAGAACGTGATGCACCGCATGTAAGAAACCATGAAAAGAATAGCCTCCATTTGGCGCGAAAATATTTGTCCGCGGGCATTGATTGTTCCGTGAAGCGAACAGTTCTCCGAGAGCGTAGCTCGAGGAAAACTGTGAGTTTTGAGGAACAGATAATGCCCAAGGACAGATATCCGAGCATATTTCCGCGCCAAATGGAGGCTATTGTGTTTGTGTCCTTCAAATATTTTTCGCAGTACGGGCGGTTTTAAAAATCACAGCTCGGATATTCCCCAGTTTTAGCCGGGGAATATTCAGTCACGTGATGTGTTTAGACCAATCGCTCGCGAGCGATAATATTTGATGGAATTTGTCGGCGGACATTTTCTGTTCGGAGGAGCGAACATTTTGCCGAGAGTGACGCTCGAGAAAAACTGTACGCTTCGCGAAACAGATAATGTCCACGAAGAAATATCTAAGCATATGTTTGTATAGTCAAATGGGGGCGATTGTGTTTATTATCCTCAAATATTTTTCGCAAATGGAAAATTGGGGAACATCACTTGGATATTCCCCAGTTTGAGGTATCAGTCACGTGATGCGTTTTACGAGGGGAAATATTTGATGGATTATTAATATTCGTTATAAAGGAGTTGGTAGCGTCGGGAACCCGCCGTAGCTAATTTAAATGCTACGATTTATCGATATTGACCGGTCCGGATATCCTGTCGGGTAGTAGATAATTGGGAAATAAAATTCAACCCATGTGACTTGCAGAATTGCGATCTGTTGCTCCATCGACTCTAATCCAATATAAGTTGGCGGATTCAAACAAGTCTGTGGCAACCGCGCAAATTTTAGCGCATTGACGTTGGGCTTAAGTTTGTGAATAAAAGGTCACCGACACTCAGGAAGGGCTGGCGCAAACTGGCGCAGCGATTTCACTGTGCAAAACTAATTTATCTAATCACGCTACCGTTTTGTTTTTTAAAATGAGTTGTGTTTAAAAGTTTTGACAAAAAAAAAATCAATGTACAACCCAATTGGTGTCCTGTTAAATCGCTGCCAAGAAAACGGGCCCACAAATAGAAGCGTGTGAGTTTGTTTACATTCAAACTTGAATCGTGAGTAATCACACGAAATCGTGCAGAAGAAGTTATCAAGTCCCGCCAAAGCCTAATTGATGAGTAGCAAGATAAGTCAAGAGTCATCGACTGACCAAAGTTCTCAAACATCACGCTTGCACGCTATGATATCCTCAAGAGTGATCAAAAACTAATCTCTCATTACAATATCAATGCATTTCAAGTAGAAAGGTGTTGAGAATAAAGAAAATCATCAAGTAAGAGATTACTGTCTTTGTGAACACGACTTAAGTCTCCGAATTCTGCAAACAGCAATGAGAAATTTGAAATACTTTGAGCTCTTAACAAAGTGGGTATATGCAAATCAAATCTGCCATGCACGTGCCCTTATCTCTCAAAGCCGATATTAGCCTGGGAATAATCCAAAGTTCTTATAAGTTAATTTGGCAGAAGAAATCCGAACACTGAACGCTGGGATAAGGAGCTTTTTCAAAGACATGCCAGATAGCATGACATTCTCGCGCGCTTTGCAGGTTGCAATTTTTGATCTTTTTTTTTCTCCGAGAAAAAAAAAAAATCCGCCATTTATTCCGGTTGTAGAAGAGAAACACGAGAGTACCGCTGGTTCTTTGTCTTCCGTAGTGTAATTTTTAAATGATGCGCGGTTAGCTGGGAGTTACCTCTTTAGAGCTCCACCGGATAAAAAAAAAAAACGATTTCGCGCAAAATCTCGCGAGCCTCACAGTTAAAGTCAAAAAGCGATCCCGTAAGTCCGCGCGCGAGTCAAAATTAGCGCAAAATTAGCAAATTAGCGCTTTGTTTCATTTTCTGCGCGCGTATCCATAATACCTACGAGATGAATCATTGTTGTGGTTAATCCGCAGAAGTCAGATTTTCATCATGTTATTTTGATCCCAAACGAGGAGGTATTCTGTTTTCAATGATGGCCACTGACAAGAGAATATAAACTCTTGCCACTGACAGTGTCACTGTTGGCCTTAAATGTAAAAGGGTGCCAAGCGATGCCATTATTATCGGGTTGTATTGGCCTCAATGAGGTAAAATACTCCAGAAAATTACATACTGATGAATCACAATGTTTGCATAGATTATAACCATAAATCTTGTTGCCGCATTAAACTGTATATAGCTCACACGCGGGTACAAGTGTTCGCAAGCGTTTTACCGCCCGTTCATGGCGGAGAACGCGGCTGGGCCTTTTCACTGGACTCACTGGAGGCGTTTCTGGAATGTCGCATGCCTGTGTTGAGGCTCTTCTTCCGTAATTCTTATCTCTGCATCTCAAGAGGGCCATTTGTTTTATCGCGGTTCTTTTTAGTGCCTTTTGTTTTTTCCTCTCAATCGGATACCGATTTGGCAATATATGGTGATGGAAACATGCTTCAGACTTTGAACAGTCGGGAAAGACTCCTGAAGAACTCATGATGTTCGGCTCCAGTTCTTTGCTGCAATGCTATTACGATATAATAAAATATGCTTGGTGTCATGAATTTTGATCGTTTTTGTTTTTTTTGTGGCGTCCCTTGTAAGGATGCAAAATTTTCTCTCACTGTGTTCAGAAATATGGCTTCTCCCACAAAGTTTGGCTCTCATCAGTAAAAAAAAAAAAAAAAATGATATCTTAAGTTTTCATCTGTGTTCGATAATATTGGGATACACAGGTATATCACGATCGATTGCCAAAAGTCTGCAAGAATACAACAAAATCAGTTCTAATTTCAGCCCAGGTCAATATAAGCTTTACATTGTGCTGAAACCTTTTTTGTTATAAATGGTCGCAAGGAATTGAAATTGAGTGTGTGTTTGGGTAACATAGTAACAATTTCCTCCAAACGGGAATGGTATTGCTAGCGAGTTTAGAGATCGCATCAGCTCCACTTTGTAAGTTTATGCAGGAATTCCGATCTCTTTAAGAGTGATTTACGCCTTCATGGCTCGCGGCTATGTGATTTTTGAGGGGTTATATTGGATCAGATAACTCTTGTATTTCACTGCGACAAAGCCCCGCCGGCAGTTGGAGAGTATTTATAGATATCACGCCTCAAGATATTTTGAAATGATCTTCTTGACTTCATCACTGGATTATTAAACCCGTGCTGGAAGAGAAAGTCGCGTTAATTGAAACGAGATAAGTGTCTTCGACAGGAACGAGATTAATGGTTCATTATTTTTAGCGTTTCTTTGACAGGTGGGTACGTACAAGATCTGAGACAACCAAAGTGCAAGTCATTTACATTCGGCACGACTCAGCGAATGTTGTTCAGTCTGATACGACGGTGAAGAGAATCTTAAATACCAAGGTAAGCTAACCTTAACTTGGTAGAAGCCTCTCATTTTAGCCATGTTTGCGACAAGATTACAAGTTTGTAACATCGTCAATTGACTGTTACCTCGTTTACTACTTTTACCCTTATACCGTTATAAACTAGATTCACTAAGTCGATCTCTGTGCTGACGGATAGAAATATTCACAGTCTTAATTCTGAGTGACTGATATAACTTTTCGAGTTGAACCAGAAATTGTACACTTAATACCCGGGACTAATACTGTGTGCAAGCACTGATCTATTTAGGAGAACAAGGAAAGTTTATGGTAATACTTTCATCAGAAATCGCTCCCGCCTAAAATCTAGTCTCTTGGCTTTAAAGGTACAGCAGACCTCGAAGACTATCTATCGGTCACCAGCTCGGCCATTTTGTCAGTAGAGAGGCTGGTATTAAAATTGCTTTTCTGGCGTCTCCATTTGTTTTCAACATAAGCTCGAGCGACTAAGGGCTTTGAGAAGTGCTTTCCCCAACGCCCAAAAACCTTTGGACGCGATTGTGAAAAAACATCACGCGACCATGTCAGTTTGTAATCACATGTTTTCTATGACCAATACATTTGAGCCATCTCTGGGTTCTATCATTTGATTTGCCGGAAAAGCCATTAAGAGGTACGAGGTATGCGTTTCAACTCGCGTTCGAGGAAGAGCTCTGTTACCGTTGGGGGAACAGGCTTCGCTTGCTTCCGTACCAAATTGTTCCAATTTAATACTCCATTTTCCCGCTAAAATGCTCAATACTTAAAGTCACTCACATGTTCCAATAAGGTATGTTGGCCATATTCCTGCTAAGTTTGTTTATTCTAAGTTTTGAACATTAATTTCGGGTGTTAAATCTGGCCAGTAAACTTATCAAAGACAAATTAAACCTGGCAGTTATTGGCTCTTTAAACCTAAAACTTCTGTTTTCACTCGACTGTTCAATAACAGAACATTAATTGTTATTATTCGGTGAAAGAAGATTCGATGCAAACTCGATTCTTTATTGAGTTTCCACGTGGTTCTGAACAACTTGTTTTTATCTTTTATCTAAACAAGAGGCGGATATTTTTATCAAAGACAATGTGGTGAACTCTCTTACGGAGTGTTTTCCAAAACACACGTTTGAAATTCGACAAATGGTATGTTAAGTGGTTCGTAGGGACGAAAGTTGGCGTATGCCGAGCCATTTTATCGAGTGCTTTTCGCGACATATTTGCAAGCACTTGAAAAGTCACTTAACGCGATTTAATTCAAATTCTAGAGGAAATATCACAAATGGTTTCAGGGTTGATTTAAGCTTAAATCTCGGCTTGGGAGTCAAGTGACCCTGTGGTGAAAGCCTACTTTCATCTAAAACAGGCCTCAAGGAAATCGGAAACACAGCGTCCTTATTTTTGAGAAGATATATTTCATTTTCTTCTCACTTTAATTATTTATTGCTACCGGTATGTTGAGCAAATTCGCTTTCTTAAAACGAAACTTCCGAAACCAATATGATTTTCCTGGAGCAGTAGTGTTGCTTTCGTCATGTTGACGTCACCAAAACCATTTACGTGCCAAATATAGGCATTTAACCCATATTGAACATGAAAGAAGGCATGCATTTGAAAATTAATGAAATATTGTTCTAATTTTAAACTTTGTTGGCCCTGTGGATTCGCCGAAAAGGCAATTACCAGGACTGAAATTAACTTAATAGTAATTAAAGTCAGTTGATTGCTTTGTTTCTCACTGGAGATGATCACACGGGCCAGTACATGAAAATCACAAAGCTTTGGTCTAAATTGGTCATGAATTATTTTTTTACCCAAGTAAGTGGAACAAGCATTACGGGCGTTTTATAAGCAGTGCAGTATGTATGTCAACATAACACAACTGTAAGGGATTGTTCTGAATATCCAACGGTTAATATAACTGATCATACACGTTGACATTTGCCGAGTCAGGGTGAAACTAACCTTGTTTATTATATTTGATGTTGGCCGTGTCAGTGCGTCGTAGCAAAGAGGGAACAATCATGCTCCAATCGAAGATCATTAAAAACGAAATAGTCCTCACGGGAAAATACGAAAATACATTGCATGTCCAAGGTATTCAGTCATTTAATTGCGCACTTTTATTGGAGTGACTGAAAAAGTATAGAATTTTTTTGTCGATTTTAGGGATTGGATTTATGTGCCTGCTGCATAAATATATCTGAAAGGGGTTTTATATATGAAAGGATTACCCTCTCCGTCAAAATTGATATCTGAGGGTGTAAAGGGTTTACGCCTTGAGGCAGAGGGCCCAGTATAAAAACGAAACTGAACACCCCCCGGATATGCTGAAGAACTTTCCTAGTGATAAAAAAATTACAAAGAAGTCGATGAAAACTTGAAATGATAGTTTGCTGAAGTAGAAAAACACTGAAGATTAATGGTAAAGCACAATGGGTCAAAGATGATTAATAACTGGAGAGACTGGAAAGGATCAGAGTAATATCCGTGCGTGACATGCATGGCTGTGCTATTTTTAGAAATAATCGCTCGCCCACATCAGCGGTAGTCACGACATCCAAGAAGAATCACGCAAGAAAAAAAAAAAAACCTCACGGACCATAAAATTGACTTGCGTGTATGAGCTCAGCTGATTCTTGTTGGTCAAAAAATGAGTACTCACGAATAAATAATGATATGCCATTTTCATCTCTGTGAGAAAGAATTACTGTGGAGCAGTTACTGAAAAATATAACGCATAATAAAATCTATTGTAAACATGGCTAGTTCCGCACACAAAAATACCAAGATTCATTGTCAAATACATGTTAAACAAACCAGCCTCCAACTGAATAAATTGACTTTATATAAGCCTAGTTCCACGAACCGAAACAAAGTAATAATGTAGTGAGAAAATCTGGCCTTTTTATAATTGAATGAAAGTTTTTCTAGCTACACAATGAATAAGACTAGAATGCAAAACTACATCACGCAACGAACTAAACTAGAGCAACCCGTATTTCGTGACTCGTTGTTTTAAAACACTTTTCGTGTTTCATTCCACGAACTATTTTTAGACCCCTTTTTAGTCATTGTAAGCTTTTGTCTTTATGTCAAATATTTTGACCAAAGAACTTACAAGTTTTGAAACAAAAGATATAAAAGAACATTTCCTGTTTTAATCTGTTTATTATTTTAGTTTCAAAAGATTGCCTGACTTTTCACGACTTTTGCTGATTTGTTGTAAAGAACCACGCACAGTTATGTAGCTTCAAACTTCTTGCAAGAGCGGACAATTCGATGACCACCCTGCCTCTAAAAGGGATGATAAAATGCTAATTCTAAATTCAGTTTATCATCAGAGATTTCAGCTCTCTTTAAGTTCCACATGGAAGACAGGGAAACAAATACGCAGTACGAATGAAAAATATTTACTCATGCTCGCGTGGAATGATGTATATCAGCCCTTAAAAAAATCATTTGATACAGACATGAGGACATTTCAAGTGAGGATCATAACAGTAAATGTTACTGACAGATTTGGCATTCTCAAGCAAAAACATTTTACAGTATTTTGATTTCTTTTTTTTTTTGACGGTTTCTTTTCCTGTACTCAGACTAATTTTCCGGTGTATTCCGCCCCTTTTCAATGAAAATGTTATTTAGTGAAACCCACGCAAATGAAAATTTATGGACGTGATTATTTCGTTCGCAAAAACCCACCCACGAACTGAACATCAATTTCCTTTGTGGCAGATTACAAGACAGGAAACGCTTAACAAACGCTTGTGAGACCCAAATGCGGATATCCATGTTTGCATTAATTTTCAACAATATATAAGTGTTTTCCGAGGCGATTAAGCGAGGTGTCTGTACTCGATCATCCCAGTAGGTCGGCAATGTCAGTGAGTATATCTGTTTTCTGCTGAAGGAAAAGGGAAGAGTTTAAGCAATTTTTGAAATACCTAAAGACAGAGAACTTTCAAGAGTCTTCACTCATTGGTATTCCACTGGATTTTAAGGTTTGTAACACTTGCTTCGGATAATTCGGTTTTGTTGATTTGTCTTTCTGTCAACGGACAGTGGCCATATATATTACTTTTGTAACTAAATACATAAAAATCTTCGTAACTTAAACTTTTAGTTATAATCTGATCAAACAAATATTTATGGCATGCTAATGATTGCTTTAGCTTTCATCAAGTAGCTTAATTTGATGTCTTCCAAAGCTCTTGTTAGAATTTGCCCTTAAGAAAATTGTTCTCAAAAACGCCAAATCTTGGCACAATTACAATTCTCTGCAAAAAAAAAAAAGTAAATGATATACAGTTACATTGCTACCTTCGCCCTGTAAGGGATCTCTTTACTCTGGGCATCACACAAAAAATACATTCCAATAACTTGAGAAATTATTCAAAGGCCGTTTTTAATGGTCATCACACTTAACATTAATTGACTTCGAATGCCTTAACCAAGATTTAGTCAAGCGCATACATCATTGCCACAGCAAGATCTTTATTTGATCGCTTCAATTGCACTGGTATGATAAGCGCGCGTGTTTAAGGCCAAGACGTTTCAGCTCAAGTAACTGGTCTTAGATCTTCCCAGCTACAGTATAACAGGTATTCCGGATTTCTAACCCTAAATGTAAGTTTGCATGCAACATTTATTCTTCATTTTGAGCCTAACCGTAACGGTTTCAGTTGTCTTATCAAAGACAGCCAAACTTGATTCCACCATTGATTTAATTGTCTTCATGTACCCTCGTGGACTCAACCTTCGACGAAACGTAACGTGAACAGGCAAACGTTAAGTGTAGCTAGGTTTAGCGGGAAAAAAGCCGTGTTGTCCAGTAGGATGTAGAGCTATATTACCACCGCATTTTACACAAGATTACACGTACAATCAAAAGTCCGATATGATCTATAAGACTTATTTTGCGGCATTTAAATTGCTTGTATGGATGCTTTAGTTGCTCGTAAGTGAGCTGATTTATGGAGTAATTAAACTCAGCCTCCCTCCTGCCGATCGAGTTAAGTGCTTCAGGATTTGATTCAATTCAAACGACGTGAGACCGTCTTTGCAATTCAGTTACAGTATATTTTAGAGCTCTGTAGCAGCCCACAATGTTCTTGTCTGCTGTCAAGTCGATAGATGCCTAGCATTGCTCGAAAAACTTGCAACAAATAAGTGAAATTCGATGGGTTGCAATCACGTAGCAAGTGGAATTCAGTATGTGTTTAAGGGACGCATGATTAATTGTTATAATTGCAGTAACCACAAGGTGAATATCTTTGCAGGAGTGAAACTAAACCGGAATTCATTAAGATTCAGTTGCGATTGCTTGTCAGTGTAATACACACCTTACTAGATTTTATAACAGTTAACTGGCGTCCGACGCTTCAAGGGAAGCAAACGAAGACATTTTCACCAATCCGCCATCCATGCTAAGTTTATTAATATTTACTCTATTTTCAATGTCCCTGATAAAATCTCAGTTATTATGACAATCAGTCTGGGCAAATAACTATAAAAGTAACGTGTTACTGAAATATATCTTGAAGCGTCACAATCGTATATGCCGCATATATTTTGTGTATACCTTACTTCGATCATTTTCTAGTAGACTTCCGCTACTTTGCTCAGAAAGCATCCAAGCTTAAGAGGCGGTTTCAGTGACATTGTTCTGAATGTCGCGACGAAACAGATGAGCGGTTAACCCGAATAAATTAATAAGCAGTTCAAAAAGGATTATACCTCATTTGAGTAAAGTTCGTTCTGAAAGGGTGTAGCTCTGTTGCGGAAGAAGAATCACTTTGAAGGATTCAAATTTCAAAGCTAGCGTTGTAAATTTTGTTTCTTGTTCCAAAATGTCCAACTTTTATTTAGTACGGTGACAGTCTCATCTTTGAATTAAAGAAATATTTGGGTTGTGAAACTGGTTTTACCTCTTTTGCCAGAAGGAGCTGACGAATTTGCCTTAATAACCGTTCTGAACAAATCATGATTTTTGGCACGTTTAGCTGTTAATTGAGTTCAAAACACATGGCAAACGTTGTTGAAACAGCACAGAATAAACACAAGACTGCGGTGAAGAACCCTTGCAGCTTATCGACTTCTCGCCATGGATTTTCCGGTGTTTGGAGAACAAGAGAGACTTATGCTTCTTAGCACAGGAAAATAACTGCGAGATACAATGTAAGGCGACCACGAGGGATGGGAGGGCGGGGACGTCATAGTTACTACGCGTGGAAACCCATGCGAGGCTTTTCATTTTAACGACTTGGAATTACTAGCTATGGGGTTTGTCTATTTAATGCTCACTGAGGGTGTGATTTATTCAAAGGTGTACTGAATAATGACCGGATCTTTGTAAAGGAAAAGCGTTTTAATTTTACAAGATTGCGCATTCTTCCATATTACGCGTCTTTTAGTCAACTTGTGAGCTTGCTTGATCATGCTTTCATCATAAGACAGTCCGTCATTGGTCATAATCATTACTTAACACAAACCTTATATTGTCATCGAATGACAAACGTCACGCCGAGCAGAAGACTGCCTTTCAGGAAGCGATCCAGGAAATGATTATGATAACCCAGTGAGATTTATTGAGCAGCGTGCCATGGATTAATTACGATACCTTGTTGAAAGTTTAGAGTGCACTTTAGAGCACTTTTCTGGTTCACTTTCTTAATTAGCTTTGCTAAGCTGGATGAAAGTCTCGTACAGTCGTAGAAAGCGGTTTTATAATGTATTTTGACGCTATTGTACTTTTTGAAGCTGTGCGCTATTGAGTGCGTACTTTTAATTGTGCTGTTAATCCATGCAAATAAGGCAAATTAATGTTACGGAGCTTCGCGCTCTTACACAGCTATGATTTACGAATGCCATCACAGTCGGCAAGTTTGAATTTACCTTACGAGTCTGTTCATTGTCATCTAAAGCTCTTCGCAAAAAGTCCAAGGTCCTTAGGAAGGTCTGCAAATTACGTCTGTCTTGTCCCGGCCCAATCTCCGACAGACTTCTGCGACGTAATTTTCTTGTAAGTTTTCGGCCAAACCTTCGCAACTGAACAAATAGAGCACATAACTCCGCGAAATCATTGGAAATACGTAAGTTTTCTTCATTAAAAGTTACTTTTATTGAAGCGAATTGACTTGCTTTTAGTTTCTTTTTTGTCCGTACGCTCTTTGATTAGCTTTTTCATTGTCTCGAACGAGCAAAGAGTTTCGTCATCGAGACGACTTGAAGTGTCTAATTGTTTAGTCTAATCAGTGATGTGAATAGTAACGAAAACTATGTAAAATATCTTCTTCTGTGTTTATATAGATTTACACCATACTTAGGACATGTTGAACTAGCTTGATACCCAACTAGACGATATATCCGTTATCGATTTTAAAGCGGGAGAATTGCGACGTGTTCTTTGTATTTATTTAACTGCAAAACCATTTATTAGGATAATTAAAAGCCTCATGTTTACATACGTTTCCGTCCAAAAACTTGGAACCTTTGGGTGGTATTCAGGTACAACAAAGTAACCAAAAAATCTGGCAGGGAACCGGACAATAGCGGACAGCTAACAAACAGAGACATGTCAAATTAACTATTGATAAATAGGTATTTTTATTGATATGTTTTACAGTTGCGCGTCATTTTGTTATCTGTACATGGCAATACTACAATCCGCACTAAACTGGATTCTTGTTGTTATTTATCGCAGATAAACCAGTAAAAAACCATGGCTCTGGAGTTATTGGCACTTGCAGTTGTGGTCATTGCCGCTGTACTTCTATACAATGCTGTTTCACACCAGAGGGAGAACCCGAAGCTGCCACCTGGTCCAGTTCCTTTCCCGATTATTGGAAACATGTTGCAAATGGGAACAAAACCACATCTTGGTCTTACGAAGCTCGCCAAGAAGTTCGGCAAAGTATTTCGGCTAACCGTCGGAATCCATCGGATCGTGGTTGTCAATACCATCGATGTTGCTAGGGAAGCACTCGTTAAGAAGTCTAACGACTTCGCAGGCCGACCTCGCCTTTACACGGCCGATCTTATCTCCAGAGGAGGGAAGGATATCGCTTTTAGCGACTTCAGTCCGACATGGAAACTGCAAAGAAAAATCGCGCATTCCGCGCTCAAGATGTTCGGACAAGGCATCAAGCCTATAGAAGAGAAAGTTTGCCAGGAGATTGACGAGCTTATGATACGTTTTGAAAAAGTTGAAGGACGCGCACATGATCCTCAGGATGACATCGTCTTGGCTGTGATTAACATTATCTGCGCATTTGTATTTGGGTCCCGTTATGACCTAGACGATCCCGAGTTCTACACCATACTCCGCTACAACCATCAGTTCGTACAAGGATTCAGAGCTGGAAATCTCGTGGATTATTTCCCGTTCCTGCGCCACTTCCCTAGTAAGGGATTACAACTGATCAAGCAGGCTGTCAAAGACCGTGATACTATTCTGCAAAAGAAGTTCGACGAGCACAAAAACACGTACCAAGATTGCGTGACGCGTGACCTGACCGACGCCCTGATAAGAGCCATGCGAGAGTCACAGACCGAGAATCCCGAGAAAGCATTACTGATTACCGAAGACCACGTGGTGTTAACAATGAATGACATCTTCAGCGCGGGACTGGAAACCACTTCCACCTGCGTGCTGTGGGCACTTGCGTACTTAGCTATCAATCAAAAGGTGCAAGAGCGACTCCATCAGGAACTGGATGACGTCATCGGGAGAGAGCGCCGTCCCGAGTTGGCAGACAAGCCAAACTTACCATATTTGGAAGCGACCATACATGAAGTGTTGCGGTATAGCTCGTTGGTTCCTTTGCTTTTCCCGCACTCGACCACAACAGACACAAATTTGAACGGGTTTGAAATTCCCCGAGACACTATTGTGCTGTTTAATGTGTGGGCCATGCATCACGATGAAAACGAGTGGCAGAATCCGGACGTATTTGATCCTTCACACTTTCTTGACGCGGACGGCAAACTTATCTGCCCCGGATCACTCAGTTATTTGCCTTTCGGGGCCGGAAGGCGCGTTTGCCTTGCAGAATCACTCGGGAAAATTCAGCTTTTCCTTTTTATCTCTCGCTTGCTACACAAGTTTCGCTTTAGCGTCCCACACGACGCCAAGGAGCCGGATTTGGAGGGCATCTTTGGTGCCAGCTTATGCCCAAAGCCATATCATTTGTGTATAGAAAGGCGTTGCTAGAGACATCTGAGCATATTCACAGACTTAACACCATCTGGTCAAGCTAACAAAACTGAGCCGAGTCCAGTTAACCTTCATTGTTAGTTTTGAACGACAAAAACAAACACGTTCAACCAGTAGAACTACCTGGTACATATTATCAACATTTGTATTATTAACCGTGGTTTAGTGTGAAACTTTAAACGCCATGCAAATACTGTCATTATGAATTTGCAGCGCGGATGAAGCAAGTGATTCGAAAATACAATATACGAATGATTGAACAAGATCATTCTATGCAATTTACACCCGTACTCGTGTAATGGTTGAGGGCAGTGTCCCTGAGTTCAAACGAGGACTGTGGAAATTTATAAACTGAGATACTTACAACAACTCTTTTTTTTTCCTTGAGAGTTGAAACATGTATATTCAAGTGGAAGTACGAACAATTTTTACATTTAAGATATTGACTCAGCAAAGTCACAAAAGTTTACAACAATGCAGTACTTTTGTACAAGTTTGTTTTTTTTTTGCTCCCGGCCCAGCAGGTCGAGTATATTATTAACATTGACTTAATATTATAGTTTCTATATTTTACTTGATGACATTATCCATATGAATTAAATGACTATTATTTTATACCTTTGGATTTTGTGCATTTTATCAGTCGAAAATGAGTAACGACTAGTGACATTTTGCAACCATCCTGACGACATTCGTTCTAGACTCCTGATATATTCTCCCGATGTGTTGCTTGAAGACTGGGTAGCGATATCCAATATGGCGACAAAAACAAAACGAAACTTTCAGAAGTTATACATTTAGAAGCTCCGAAACAAAACTCAAAGGCTCTAGGAAAATTTGATTTGACAACGAAATATTTCATACATGAACGGAAATTTGGCACGCCAATAATGGATTTATACATGATATGCACGTCGATTCTCGTGAAAACCTCAGAGCAGTTTTATTGGCATTTCACAAAGCTTTCTTGCTTGAGCTGACTGTTTTCAGATGTTTAAGGTATCAGTATACCCCAAAATTTGACCATCCAAAATTGACCATTTTTTAAAAAAATTGTTTTTAGTTTTTCGTTTTTCAGATAGATCTTATTACGATCTTTCATTTAAAAAAATTCCATGAAAAAAGATATGAGCAAAAAACGTTTTTTTGCATAAATTATGTCTTATTGATAGCTGTCAACGGGTTGTCACAGAAGCAAACTTGCATTAAAAGTTGCGTGACAGATTGCCGCGTATGAATGATTACCAAACGTTTGTGTTTGGTATAGTCGACGAGCTGGTCTGTGTCAAGAAGGCATAGCGATGTTGATCGCGTCCTCCCGCTCAAATCCAACCAGAAACGAACTTGATTAGTAAACCTCTAGTACCTCTGTACTTTGGGAAATATGGCGTATATTCGGAAAACCTTATATATACATTACTGGGGTTTGCGTCAAATGTCCGATCGTAAAGGACGTAAAGCGGCACCAACGAATGATGGTCATTTTGGGTATACTGATACCTTAATAGTTAGCTGAGATGTCACATGTTATACACAGTCGCTGAATATATAAACAATAGCCTCCATTCAGGCGCGAAAATACGCTCGGATATTTGTCCGCGGACATTATCTGTTCCGAGAAGCGAACCTGTGAGCTTCGAGGTACAGATAATGTCCAAGGACAAATCTCCGAGCATATTTTCGCGCCAAATGAGGGCTATTGTGTTTATTATCCTTCAAATATTTTTCACAACACGCGCGGCTTTGAAATTTGGGGAATATCCTCGGATATTCCCCAGTTTTAGCTGGAGAATATTCGGTCACGTGACGCGTTTAAACCAATCGCACGCGAACGAAAACAATTGATGGGTCATTAAAACAATGTATGGCGGAATAGATAAAAAATAGCCTCCATTTGGCACGAAACTTTGCTCGGATATTTGGAGCCATAATCGGGGACAGAGACCGTATGTCTTGGAATCCGCGCGCACCTATGATATGGGACAATTTTTTTTTTTTAGAACAAATTGCGCCATCCTGACTTCATATATCCGCGCGGATCCACGCACATGTCGGGGGCTCTCGCGTGGATGTTTTCACGCTGCCTGATCAAATGGTGAGAGTGGCAAGATTCTCTTGCAGATTTTTCACAGCGATGGCAGGGAATAAGAACCAGGGCTCTAATATGTTGGTTTATGCTCTGAGCTAATGGAAAAGGTGAGATTTTCAGGGTCGAGAACAAGACTTCAATTTCGCACTGTGAATGAATAATATTTGCTCTCGCTAGTTGTACGAGTAAAGATTTTGCGTTTGCTCTGTGAAGAAAAGTTACGTAAGAAAACTCTTTACTCTGGTATCGAGTTAATTTGTGAGTTTCCCAAACAATCTTAATCATAACCAAACCCTGTTTTTGATAGTTTCTTTTCGTTTCTGTTTGTTTGGCGAGTTTGCAAAAGTTTTTGAAAGGAAAGTCTGAAGCCCCAGCCAAACGATCGCAACATATCAACACGACATATCGCAACATTGTTGGTCCAACATTTACAAGCTCCGGCCAAACGATCGCAAAATTTCAGCCCAACATATCGCAATATTGTTGGACGCAACATGTTGCACACGTTTGGCCACCCTGTCGCGACGTGTTGCGACATGTTGGATATTGAAAATCGAACTACAGCGCATGCCCGAGTGCAACATTGTTGCACGACCCTGGCCAAACGAGTACAACATCATGCAACATCCACAAATGTTGCATGAAAAATTTGACCAGTTTCAAACTTGGGCCAACAACACTCAGCATGTCGCAACACGTCGCAACACATCGCAACAGGGTGGCCAAACGCACGCAACATGTTACGCCCAACAATTTTGCGATATGTTGCGTTGAAATGTTGCGATCGTTTGGCCCGGGCTTGACGCGTACAAGTAGCTCATTTGCATAGTGCAGCGCGTGCACGTTTAAGGTCATTCCTCACATTTGCATTGCGCATCCTTACTGCGCATAATTTATGGCGTCATTAGCGCGCGCTCGTGCACGCGCACATTGAAAACATGACGGATTCGCCTTGATATTGAGCTCTGTCAGGTGAAAAATGGCTCTAGCTCACCAACGAGCACGGGCACCCCAATTTTTTTTCCACTCATTGTAATCAACTAATCATAAGCTTTGCGTGAGAAAAGA